AGGTGATTTTAATAAGCTTATCATTTACAGGTCAGAAGTTTCAAGGCAGTCTTTTTCACTGTCAAGCAGTTCTTACTGGTCATTTCCCCCGATGTTTAGCTGGAATTTTCTTTTTGAAATTTCTACTCATTGATTCTAGCCTCTCTTTTTTAATAACTTTTTACTGGGTTTTATAAACAAGGATCACAGGAACAATAAATGATACAAATAATTACAAATGCTACAAATAAAAAGACTATTTTTTTTTACATCACAAAAATAGCATAATAAATTTGCAGTAATATCTACGGTTCATTATTAGTGGTCAATGTACAAGTTCTTGGTTCATGAAGTGGTTTAAATAAAAACAAAAGGGGAACAGCATTGATTTGAATAACTAGATAAACAGAGAACAAGTCTGCTCTCACCTCCTGCATAACAGGCCTTATTCTATTTGAAGAACACTGCCTTGTCTCACCTTAATCTTCCCCTTTTCAGGATATAACTGATTCTGTACTAGTAGTTAATAGTAGAAGGGAGTTCTGACCACTGTAGGAAACAGGACTGTGGACTAAATGGACCATCAATCCACTCCAGTAGGGCATTTCTTATGTTCTAATATTCAGTATTATAGTGTCTCTCAGTAGTTTCCCCCTTGTATTGCTCTTTCTTGTGTAGAAGAGTATCTGTTTTGTTTTTGGTATGTGAGCTTTTGTTTTGATAACAGATAACACTGTGTGTACATATCAGATTTTATTAAAAAGTAACAGGGTTAAAATGTCCTTCTGTCTTACCATCTGAACAGAAGAGACTACTCACAGGTGGTGCAGAGGAGCAGCGAATTCACTTACTGTATACCTAGCAGCTCCTGCCCTAGTTTTTTCCATCTGTTTCTTCTCTTCCCAACCCCCATGTTCCACACTGTTTATGGTTGCAAAACAAACACCACCACCTACCCTTATTACTTAACCCCAGCTATTAAGAAAACATTGTAAGAAGAAAGGGCTGACAGATCAAGTATGTGTGGGGCCATTTTCACAAAACATAAAAGCAGATTAGGACTATTTGCATAACTGGAAGATGTTTCTTTAAAAAAGAAAAGGGGAAAAAAGAACAGCCAGAAAGCATTAACATTAAGAGGTGTGGGCAATTTTCATTCTTACCTGGTGTGCCCGCAGAGAGGATTTAATTAAAATTTAATAGCATAGTGCCCTGTGTGTATGATACAATGTATTGCACTTTCTTTATGCAATGATTTGCCTTTAGTAATCAGTATTTGAAAAGCAAGAAGGGGAAGGGCCAGAGCTCAGTGATATTACACATGTTTTGAATGGAAAAGGTCCCAGGTTCCATCCGCAGTATCTCCAAGCAGGGCTGAAAGAAACACCTGCCTGGAAGCCTGGGGAGCTGCTGTCTGCCTGTGTAGATAAAACTGAGCTGGGTAGGCCCAGTGGTCTGACTTAGAGCAGCTTTCTATGTGTCTAGATGTTCTTTCTCTGTGAGATTATAGTACTGAAATGATTAAAAAGGTAATACCCCAATTCATAAAGACTTCAAAATGGAGGCCTTGAACTCCAGACTCTAGTCAAGAATGATGTTGATGAACTTGTCGGAGGCTTATTTACTTAATGCCATCTGATGGGTACCAGAAATACCTCCGGTTTTTCCTATACAGGCAACCACTTCCAATATTATGTTCTGCCCTTTGGGTTGACCTTTTCCAGCAGGGTGCTAACTAAAGGTAAGGTGACCCTAGTGGCACACCTGAGGACCTTGGAGGTGCAGGTTCATCTGTACTTAATCCTGGTGCACTCCCCCTCCAAGGAGCAATGCAGGCGAGATAGGTCACTCTGAACTGCCTTTGGTGACATGGGTTCATAATAAATTGGGGGGAAGTCTCATTGGAACCCCCCCCCCAAAAAACCCCATACCTCTGGGTGTACAACTGAAGATGCCAGCCTTCAAGATTTGGTTGTCCAAAGGGCACATAGAGAAAGTGACACAACTTAAAATCCAAATTGCAAGTGCAGCTGAGGTGGATCTGATGGTATTAGTCAAATTTCCAGGCATGGTGGTATCGTTTCAGAATCATGTTCCCTAGGCAGCACACCTCCCTTTACCCCTTCAGAGAATGCTATTCTGCTATCAGGACCAGATTGCAAAATCCAAACACATTAAGATTTCGCAAGTGCCTAGCTGTGCAGAGAGCTCTGATGATGGTAGTCCTATGGAAGTTAGTAGATGGGGTATGTTTGGAGGCTCACCTCAGGCTTGTGATCTCAAGACGCCAGACTTTATGATTGGGGACCCCACCCAGGTTCCTTGGTGACTCAAGGTGTTTGGAGCATCCCTGAAACAATGCAGCATCAACTAGGTGGAGCTCAGGGGGATGAGACTGGCGCTAGTAGCCTTGCTCTGCATGTTCTGGGGCAACTATTTGAATGTTAGAATTTTGCAGCTATCATTGAGGAAGGTCTGTTAGGCAAATTGCTAATGTTCAGTGGACCATAACATTAATTTTGGCAGCCATAAGTCCATATACATATGCCCTAATGAACAGATATAGATAAGTTCCTTAAAGGAAAGTCTCTGCACCCTGTGCCTTTGAATAGCGACCCTTGTTTGGACTATCCCTTGACAAATGAAAAATCATTCAAAGTGCAGAAATCTTCTGTAATGTGGGTAGGTTCTCAGTATTGACAGCAGCACCTGAAGCTTAGGAGTGGCTGTACATAATCCCGGAGGGAGCTGTCATGAACATTTCTTCGTATTTGGATTTGGAGACTGTACTTACAATATCTATTTCTTCTATTGAATTTCCTGTCAACTGCCAGTGTATTTATGACCATAATGGACATTGCAGCAGCTTGACTGAGACGGAACAGTATGTATGTACATCCATATCTCAGCATTTTATTTTATATCTGGCAAGACCTGATGTCAGAATATGTGAAATATTTGAATTGCATCTTTATTAGTTACAAAAGAGCCATCTGACACCACCATAAAATATTCCTTTCTTGCTGGTCGATTTTAGTACTAAATTTGGATGGTGCTTTAGCCATATTTTGGTATATTGAATGAGAACTATTCTCCTGAGCCAGATGGCACCTGCCTTTGAAATACTACTTTGGGCAAAATCATTAGATTAGTCTTTCAGTGTGTATGTGCCAAGTCTTTAATATTAATTTCTCTAAAATCATTGAGGTGAGTTCTGGGCCTAATCCAGATGCTGCTGTCTTCTGTAGTGCACATATTCCTCTGCATACACCAAGAGGCTGTATCAGAATCCTTCTCTGCTGAGGCAAAATATTTAACGAGCCCTAGTAGCATTTCTGCTTTTAAAAATCCCTCCCCAGGTAGCATTGTATGCTATTAAACGCAAAAGTTCTTAAACAGTTATAAAACCTCATCTTAGCAATATAAATATTTTAGAAGTCACATAATGCCTTGTCTATTTTTGTCCCTTTCTTCTGCTTTAATAGGCTGTGCAGAACTGAAACTGTCACTAAGTTGGTATTTTCTTTGTGCAGCAAGGTCGTTGGACCATTAACAAAGGCTTTATTAGGGCTGTTATGCGTTTGAGATACAGCAGAAGTCTTCTCGCTGGTTTCATCACTGAAGAGGCATTTAACAGAACTTCTGGAATTGCAGCCACATAACGAACTTGATCAATATTTAATATCAAGATACCCAGTCTAATTTTTCTTATCTGAGTTTGGTAGTAACTATTGAGCAGTAACTCCCCCCCCCCCCGGAAACCTGCTAATCTATACCAGTTCTCTTATCATACCCATTACAGGTGTTAAAACTGTTGAGAGAACTGTTTAAAAGAAACAATAACTATTCAGAGGGTTAACGTAGACCAGGCATCCGCAACCTGCGGCCCTCCAGATGTTTTGGCCTACAACTCCCATGATCTCTAGCTAACAGAACCAGTGGTCAGGGGTGATGGGAATTGTAGTCCAAAACATCTGGAGTGCCGAAGGTTGGGGATGCCTGACCTAGACACTTCTTCCAGCATGAGTACGTATTGTTAAGATGGCTGTGTTGCTAGTGGTTGCAATCCTGCTAAGTTATGTTGTTGTCTAGTAGTCTCTGTAGGGTAGACATTCTCGTTTTTTGATATTATGCATTGTCTAAGCATAATTTAAAGAGGACAAAGCTTGGCAGCATTTAACCTTATTCATTAACTCAGAGAAAAACAAGATTAAAGAAAAAGGAAGCGAGAATAGGCACAAAGGCCTATGACATTTTCTGGAATCTACTACAAATATAATGCAAATCCAAGTTTTGCAAACTTGTCTGCCAGCATTGGAAACACATGCTTCCTCTTCCTGTCTTCTCCATAACAAATGCTCTCTTTCATAAATTGGAAGGGTCATGACTAATTCTGGCCAAGTCTTCCTGCCTTAGTGAAGTAGGAGAGCAGCCAGTGAGGAGTTTGCATATTGTTACTGTCCTTGCTGAAGATACTAGTCCCTATACATGTCTGAATCTTGACTATTTTCGTCAGTGAATAAGACTTTCTGGAGCATGACTGTGGATAGGGGAAATTTTTCCTTCTGTGACCTGTTTGTATTTTGTCCAGTGATGTGGGGTAGGAAATCCTCCAGAGCTTTATTTTTCTGCAGATTTTTTTTCCATTTTGTAAGTTCACAATTGTAAATACAGTACAGTCGTACCTCGGAAGTCGAACGCCTTGCAAGTCAAACGTTTTGGCTCCCGAAAACCACAAACGTGGAAGTGATTGTTCCAGTTTGTGAATGCTCCTTGGAACCCGAACATCCTCCGCAGCTTCCAGTTGGCTTCAGGAGCTTCCTGCAGGCAATCAGAAGCTGTGCCTTGGTTTCTGAATGTTTTGGAAGTCGAATGGACTTCCGGAACGGATTCCGTTCAACTTCCGAGGTATGACTGTATTAGACAAGTGGGGAAGTTTCAAAGGTTTTAGCTTTGTTTACTGACTGCAAGGCATGCTACTCTAGGACATCAGAAAAGTTTCAAGTACATATTGTTCTAATCTGAATATGAAAAAATTGAAAGTTTTATGTAAAGTCCACATCATTGATTTTGCCAAGGGGACACAGGAACACCTAATGTGTAATTTGAGGAACTATATAGTCAAAGTAGTGGAGTGCCCTAATAAGGTACCTGGAAGGGAGCAGCAGAAACAAGATCCGATCTTTTCCAGAAAATGAGCTTTTATTGAGAAAGTAAAATGAAAAGAAAATTGCATGGAAAATTACTGAAGGGTTGTCCTAAAAGGGAGAGGGGTTAAGAAAGAAAGAGAAATGAGCAAGTTCCAGTCCTGCAGGAGGCTATACAGTGATGCTGTAGCATGCAGGAGAAAGGATGGTTGAAGTCTGAAAGTTATAGAGGGATGAAGCAAGTTATGCTTTCCTTCCATGTGACCTGCCCAAAAACTCATCAGTGGGAGTGTGAGAGTCCATGACATCAGGGTGAATCCAAAAAGCAGAGAGGAAGGGCAGGTGTTCCTTAGCCATGACACAGCTTTACAGGACAGGATCCCTACATGGAGATGTGTGGAGATTGGTACCTGAAGCCAGGATCTCCAGAAATAAGTCAGGTTCAGTGTATCACAGCAAGATTGCTCTCCTGAAATCACACTGGCCATGGAATCTTGTAGAACCTCACTAATTTCAGGGGCCTAGGGCTAGTAGCAACCAGAAGGAAAATTTCCAGGTTCACCAAAAAAGGATATAATGGACTGTCCTTGATGAAAAGGGTTGCTTGACTCTTCAAGGGGATGTTTCAGTACTAATTGGAAGGTCACTGAAGAATTCTGGGCTCACAGGAGTCAATTGACAAAGTGGTCTTGAATGAATTAGGAAGTCAGGGAGATTTGTTTGTCTTGCCTTCCAGTGTATAGAGGGCTGGGCCACTTTCTCTTACATTTAAGGTGTCAGCAGGAACTGCAAATGCATTTTGACCTAACCCAATAGACCATGCAAACTAACATTTCCAAACAAAATGAAGACTTCTGAGCCAAGGCGCTTGGAGGTAAAATTATACTTTGTGGAAAGAACCTCCTTGGTCAACAGCCTGCAGCAAATCTCATGGGAACCGTTGAACCTGGTTGTTGAATAACCTCATAGCATGCAGAAATTGCCTCTTGTCATAAAACCAAACCAACTTTCTTTGAACACTTACTGAGGGTGAATTCTGGGTTCAGTTCCTCTTGTTGTCCATTTCTCTGATTTATTTTATATTTTTCTGTGGGTAACTGTTCATCATAGAAGGAGTTTTGCCCTTCCTTGATTGCTATCCTGCTGCCTCCACTTCTTTCCGTGGGAAATGATGCATATTTTTAGAATAAAATATTGCTACCACATTTAGTGCAGGGGCACTAAATGGACAATTTACCAGTTATCTTGGAAAGGCTTTCTTCATTGTACTTTGTATAATGTTATGGTGTGGGCAGGATGTAAAATATTTGGATTATGTACTTCTAAATGCACTTTCCTGTTATTAATTCTCTTTTCAAATCTAATAATTCTGCTTGCAATAATTTATTTACAGTATAGCCAAGAGATAAATCTATAATTCACAAAATACATCATTAATAGGATGCAGAGCCTCCCACTTGGACTATTGTGAAGTTACAGCGTTGTAAATGGGCTGCTTTTGAAAATGGTCAAAAAACTTCAGTTGGTATGGGATGTAGCTGCAAGATGTTTTTATGAACCCATTATACTGTACTCCAACATCTTCACTGGTTCCCAGTCTCTTTCAGGCCTAATTCAAAAGTGCTAGTTTGAACTATTAAAGTATGGTTTGACAGTTTTGTATCTGAACAATTGCCTCTTCCTTCATGTACCTATCATGCCTTGAGATCATTGGCTGAGGCGCTTCTCTGATGGTCACCACCAAATAAAGGGCCTTTTCAGTAGTGGCCCCTTGGTTGTGGAAAGACCTTCCCAGACGGGTCAGCCAAACACCTATTTCACATTTATTTCACCTTGGAACTTTTAAAAACCTTTATTATGCTGTGGTTTAATAGTATTTTAGACCTGTGGAGTCCCCGTCCCCATCCCCATCCCCTGCTTTGCTCTTTATTTTAATTATTTAGTGCTGTGGTGTTTTATTTTTCTGCTCTCTGTTTTAAGGTAAAATGTCTTGATTTTACATTTCTGGTTTTGAGGCATGATAATTGTGATTAAAAAAACAAAAAACTTTCACCACCTAGCATACTTACGTTATATTACTGAATGGCTAAACAAACAATGATAACTTTGGATTATCAGTATATTGACTTAGCATTGATTGATTGATTAACTAACAGGATTTATTTACTACTCGATCATCAACACTTTAAAGCAGTTTATGGAAAATATAAAATATTCATAAATCATTGATTAAATCAGAAGTTAAAAACAAGTTAACAAAAAATTCAAAATATGAGTAAAAATAGCACTTTGAAAAATAGACATTATGAAATGTCTTATTAAAATACATGTCTGGGTAGCCCCACTTAAGCACAACAGTTTTTAGCAGTTGCCAAAAATAGTACAGCAAAGGCGCTTGCTTCTAATATCGTACTTTGGGCAGGGAGTCCCAAAGTATAAGTGCTACCAGACTGAAGGATCAATTCCTTTCAAGTGCAGAATGAACCTTATGTGCAACTTGTACCCAATATATGAGTGAGCAAGATTGGATTCTGGTGTATCATGGTCCTACTGGTAAAATCAACATTGGGCATGTTTCAACCAAATCATTTTTTCTTACATTGAACCATTAGGTGTTGATTATTATTAGCTCATTTTCACCAGACGTGTTGAGGAATAAATGTCTCTCCTCCATTAAATTTATGGGAGAGATTGATATAGCTTGTACAGCTTCATGTTGGGAATGCCCATTAAATTCAAGAATCTAAAAGCTCTAGAGACTTGAGGACCAGTTCACACTTCTAATTTCCCTGGTATGCAATCAGTTGCAACCTATAATGGAATACCAAAGCAATTGTAACAACTGAGAAAAGTGTGGCATGAGAGTGACTGCTGACAAAAAGTAGTTGATTCATACATGTGTTGAATCAGCCATGAGAGGGAATGGCAGAGGCTAGAATACTTGATAAGCATGTTTCACGTTTTACACATACAGTGGTACCTTGGTTTACAAACTTAATCCGTTTCGGAAGTCCGTTCTTAAACCAAAACCGTTCTTAAACCAAAACCGTTCTTAAACCGAGGCACACTTTCCCTAATGAGGCCTCCCGCCACCAGTGCCCATCCACCATTCGACTTCCGTTCTTAGACCGAGGTAAAGTTCGCTAACCAGGACACTACTTCCGGTTTTGCAGAGTTCATAAACCAAATCGTTCGTAAACAGGGTTGTTCTTAAACCGAGGTCCCACTGTACTCTGATGTCAAGTAACTCAGCTAGATGGACATTGGAGGGCGCCTTTTTATAGTTTCTAATGTGTCATGAAATTAAGTACAGTGGTACCTCTACTTACGGACGCGATCCATTCTGGGGTGCTGTTTGCACCCCGAAAAGTCGGTAAGTAGAGCGCCGCTTCTGCGCGTGATGCAATAGAGCGCTCCTGTGCATGCGGCGAAACCCAGAAGTATACACTTCCGGGTTTGCTGTGTTCGCAACCCAAAATACACAACATGATCCTAACACAACTAGAGGTATGACTATATGTATTCTGCCTACTCTGGTTCAGGAGCAGCACTTAGCTAACAAATAACCCCTCTTTTCAGAGCAGGTTGATACTATTCAGACTGTAGATCACTTGCTGTGATAAGGTACATTTTTTCTTAAACAAAAGAGGCTGGAACAATTTTTGTTCTATTTGGAAAACAAGGCTATGGGAGCAGGAAGGAATCTATATAGGCCAAATAAAAAGGATAAAATCAGAGTAGAGAAGAAAACTGTATTGTAATGGCTCTCAGAGGAAAGAGCCAACGTTGGTTAGTAAAAAAAAAAAAATTTTTTTTTTTAAAAAAATCGGCAACTTGCCACACATTTTTTTTAATCCATAGTTTATTTATCAGAATAGATAAGCAGAGACAGTGCTTTAGCTCAGCTGATAGACCTTGAGACTTACCGGTACTCTCAAGGTTATGGGTTCCAGTCCCACGTTGGGCAAAAAGATTCCTTCATTGCAGAGTGGTGGTCCCTTCCAGCTGTACCATTCTGTGATTCTGTGACCATTGGGTACTGCTATTCATGCAGGCATATGCTGATTTTGTAGAGGGTGAACTGAGCCCACAGACAGTCGCAAATTAATTTTAAGAGAGCTTGTACTGTATTAGTAGTATGGCAAGCTGAGGCTTCTCTGGTCTTGCAAATGTTGACTTTGTAAAGATGGCTGAAAATTGCACACGAGACCAGTAGTAAGGGAGTCTGCCCAGTTTTAGGTTTAGCAGACCTCTGCTAATTTTCTCTGTTGCATGTTAGAGGATCTGGGATTTAGCCATGCATCGTGACATCATCTGTTTTGCAGACAGTTGTGAGACTTCAGAATAAATAGCAGTCTAATTCCAGCAGTCTGTGGGTTGGTTTTCTGCTGAGTGGGAGCAGAACAAAACCAGCTTTGTGATGGGTTGTTTTTATGTTTCTCCAAGGAGCTGTTGGAAGTCTAAATTATAGTTTTTCTGATGGCTATTTGAGAAAGGGCAGCTAAAATGGAGGGGTGTTACTGGGAAAACAGTTGTCAGATGGCTACAATAGAGGTTTCCATTAGCTGATGAAGCACTTAGAAGTGGGAGGTCTATGGAGTCTGATCAGCATTGATATGGAAAAGGAGAGTGCCTGTCAGAGATCAGTTTTCTAAATGGATGTTGGGGGAAATGTTTGTCCAGAATCAGGGCTATGTCCTGGAGTGAAGGTTAGAACTGAAGAAGGTTAGACTATTGGAGGGGCAGGGGACCTAGTCACAGAAAGTAGATTGTGTTGCACTCAGTTGGGTTTATAGCTTGGGTTGGAGGCTGAAACGGAGAGCTAGTAAAACAAATTCAGCGTTAAAAAATCCTTAATTTAAATATCAAGGTGTCTAGATAACTGCTGCTAGAAAGCTCAAGATACACAATTGTTGTTGTTGAGCTAGGTTCCCAGAAGGTAGGCAGCCAGAAGAGGTCCTTCAAATACTCTTGCCAGAATCTTAAAGGTTGGTCTAGTTCAAAAAAAAGCAAGCAATTTGATTCTAAGGGTTCATTTTATCTGAAGACTATCCAGTTGGACTCCAACTCATTACTAGATGTGGATATGTTTAGCTGTAGTGATTTGTTTGAAGTGCTGTGATATTTGGAAGAAGACCATAATCTTGAAAATGAAATCTTTCCTGGCCTGCAGTTCGGTGTGTGATTTGTTCCCCTCCAGGGCATTCTTGTTTCTGTTTAGCATTCTGTGAGCCATATTGAGACCTGGGCCTTGTTTAATCATTTTGGTTCTGATTGCTTACTTGTATCCATGGGTCGCATCTTGAATTCAGTGTTTTGCATTACAAATCCGCTCTCAGGAGATGGGCAGAATATATGGCTCCATCTGCCATGTCTCATTTTAGCTTTTTTAAATGTGTTCCCATTAACAGGTGAAATACTCAGCCCACAGAGAATTAGGCTCATGTCTCGGTATACAATTGAAGATGAATGCTGTCCATGCATTCATCTTCAATTCTGCAGCTTGATGATGAGGTGGTTGTAACAAAATATTCAAAAGTGTTAACCTGTTATTTATGCTGTTGAGATCATAGGTTTCAGTCATGTGATCAGCTTGTGGTTTTTTTAAACCCTGATCTGTTTACTTCCTTATTCTGCCTATGCACCAAATTCTAAATTCCACAGAAAATGCAAGAAAAGCAGATTACTCAAAAGAATATAATTTACGCTCTTTTGATCTTTGGAATTGGCTAGAAATGCCTTAGAAATGAAGATTTCTCCTTATTACTATAGACTTTAGAAGTTTAAAAAAATGCTATACTGAAGGTGCTATTAATGATTCTGATGCTGGTATTAGGATTTATATAGATTATCATTTATATTAAACCATAATTTGGTATCGCTCAGCAGTTTTCGTGATAGAATTATTTTTAGTGATTAAAATACATCTTTTCCGTGTCACATTTAATTCCTTAACCAGCTAGTTAACACCTTTGTTTAAGATATTCTGCTTCAGCATGTGACACTGCTTGGATTTTATTTTATTTTATTTTATTTTTTAAGCTGAGAAGATGAACATTTTATCTGTTTGAAGGGCTAAAAGTAGATTGGAGAAAAATGATCATTTTTATTTTTTATCTAGTAACCCTCCTAAAAGATAAAATAACTGTTGCTGTAGCAAGAAACTGCTTCTTTCAGAAGTGGCTATGCTGAGCTGTTTTTTATGCAGTCCATTTCGTAGTGAAAATGCTGATTTGATATCCAATTAATTATCTCAAATTATTTCTATCCTATGTAGATATTTTAGAGGGGAAGCCAAGGAAGAACATTATCACTTGCTGATGCTGAGCAAACTAGCCCACTTCACAGAGTGTAATAACTGCAGTCAGATGGTCATCCATATTTGTGACGCCAAAGATGAGCACCTTGGCCATGCAATCATCTCTCACCCATCCCCTGCTCCCATTGCACACCAGCTTCAGTATGGAGATCCTGACTTGCATTACAACTAGAGGTTTCTGTTTTGTCCGAACGGGAAAACTCTACCTTAATGTTGGTTAACCAACTTGGATAATAAGGCAGAATTTCATCCTGGATTTTAAGAATAATAAGCCAGGACCTCTCTGCCTGTTTTTGGCATGCAGTAGGAGAAGGAGAGACGTGGCCATAGTACTCGACCTTGATTTCATCAATGTCCAAATGAAGCTTCTGTGTTCCTGTAAGCTTTTCTTTTTCTTTTTACCAATTTTAAGTCGTTGGGAATAGCACTGTAGTGTTCTGGGCTGGAAAGAGTATTGGTAGGCAACTTTGCTCTGCCAGCAGCAGCAGTTTCTTAGTCTTTGGACCTTTAAAATCAAACAAGTAGAAACTTTGGCTCTTTAGATCAGCCTTTTAGCTCTTTTCTCACTCCAGCCTATCCTTGTAACTACCCATTCAAGAGAAGCGGAAGACAGAGTGTGGTGACATTTTTTTCCTTGTTGGTTCTCCTTCAAGTTTAAGAAAAACCAACACATTACTTCCCTACTAGCTGAAAAGAGTACCAGGCACTACACTGCCCCAGGAATATGATGTGGATGGGTGAGGAAATGAAGTGGACAGTGGTTTAGTGATGAGGTGGGTATAATGTCATGAAGTAATTGCAAGGATGAGTTAGCTCTAATACATTCTAGAATACGCAAATATTTCAGTGTGACTGCTAAAACGTTTATTTTAACCTTACATTCCATATTGTTTTTCATGGCATAAAATGCCCTAGAATATACTGGCTATGGGGCATCTCTTGCTCAGATCTGCTCTGCTTTCCTCTCCCCCCACTTTGGAATCAAAGAAGATTAATTCCCAACCTCCACCTTCCATTTTCAACAGCCCACTTAATCCCTGTTCAGTTCTTCTTTTCTCTGTATTACCACATGCTCACTCATTCATGGTTTGCTTAGCATTGCATGCAACTGTGCTTTGGGGACAACATCATGGCAGACATGAAGTCCTGAGTAGACTCTGGCACTGCTGACTTCTTACGGGCACTGAGGTCCCTCAGGACAGTCAGTCTAGGCACTGTTGGCACCAAAACTGAGATAATCTCCATCAGATCAAGCTGGGAAACTGTTCGGCATCTGGATGGTCAGCACACTAAGAGCAGATCCACTTTGTCTCTCTTGAACTCCTGTGACAGAGATTTAAAGCAGCAGAGATGGTAGCTGTCTTTCCTGCTCATATGATGCATTTGTTCATATAGTATGAGGCTTGTAGTGGCCCTCAGGGGATCAACCCCCTATGGAAATAGCTGCAGATTGCTATAAACCAGATGTCTGGGTCATTTGGAGTTGGGTAGGTCTCCATATCTATCTGGAATTAAACATTATGCTGCTGCTTACAACCCTAATCCTCCTGCATGTTTCTGGACAACTTGCTTTACAGTTTTGGTAGAATCCATTCAGTGTCTCTTTTCTTGCTTACATTTTACTCACACAAGTACTGTCCTGTACAGCAGGATCACAATTTACATTGATTTTACTTACACGATCATAGATTTACATGGATTACACACAAAAAAGAAAAAAGCTTAACAGGCCCTGGAGGCTCTTGCCAGATCCCCATAATCCTCTAGCGTCCTTGCGAGACTGTTCCAGAGCCCAGTAAGCAAAGTGGCGGGCTTTAAAGCTCTTTTTGTGCAGGAAAACCCTTCGTGGAAATAGCTTTATGCCCTCTGCCTTTCGTACCAGCCTCTGGGAGGCTCTCACAAGAACATGGACGGTAGGGGCAGTTCCAGGGGTTGTTATGACTTTGCCTTTATGCACACACCCCAGGAACATAGCCCTCTTGTAAGTTGTAGTCTCACTGTACTTAAAGAGCTACAGCTGTCCCTACTGAAATTTCAAATGCTTCTGAAATGTGTTATGTATTGTTATGATTCATTGTTGATAAAACATGGTCTGATCCCACAGGCTGTATTACACGCACAGCAACTGTAATAGGGATAGGTGGGGGTAAGATCTCTCCATAGGTTCTGTGGCACAATGTGCCACTTTGTCTTAGGGCAGGAGCAAACTCTAGCACTGAAGTTGCTTTAGCCACTGCACTGTTATGAGATACATATATGTAAATGAGAGATGGTGGAGGTTGTATGATCAAGCAGTTCCACTTTTGGTGCTATAGAGGGAGAGAGGATATGGTAACAATCTCAAGGTATGCTCATCTGTGAAAACTTGAATGTTCCTGTGAAAGTATTGTCATGTTTCTGGCAGCAATCCTTGTTCATGTGAACTGTGTCAGAGCAGGCCACCGACATGAATATTGCCAGGACTGCGCCAAACTGCATGTTAATAAGTATTTATGAAAGTGCTTGAAGAGTCTGATTGACCTATGGCCAGAAGCAAGTTTTGTAAACAAATGTTTACAAAACACAATCTCATGCCATTTTTATTCCTGCACCCCCCCACACACACCCATGCTTATTGCTTGCAAAGTATCAATGCTTCAGTGCTTCAGAATTTTAGTATAGAGTATGGAGGTCACACTGGAAAAGTTAGCAACCAGCTATGATTTATTCCAGTGACAGTTTACACAGAATTCAGCCTGGCATCCATCTTGGAGAGACAGGATTCACACTACAGGAGCGTGCTCAGTCTTGCTTCCCATACATACACTTACAATAGGATTAACCCTCTCTCTGCCTCCTCCAGTGCCCCCACCCACAATACAGTTATGTATGTAAATGGCTTGAAATACTTTATAAGGCTGTGGTTAATGGGGACACTTCACTCATCAGGTTCAACAGAAATGAATATGTGCTTGGAGTCTCAATCTTACAGCATTCTGTAGGGTGGGGTGCATTCCTGATGCAAACAAGACTCTTCCAAGAAATGGGATGCAGATTTTTATATAGATGCCTGATGTTAAAATAGATAGAATGAATTCTGTTACCATTTGTATTCATAAAAATGCATTTCTGAGATTGTAGAAGATGAGATGCAAAGTGCTACAATTTTATGGTGTTAGATGAGAGATGCTTTTGCTTCAGTATTTCTGTAAATTTTAATGTTAAAAACCTGCTGCTGTTTTTTTTCTTTTACTTATTGCTAAGACTGCTTTGCAGTCCCTTACCTAGGAAAAGCATTCTGTATGTCTTAATGTTTTTATTTTGAATCAGAGCCACTTTAAATTTATGGCCTTAAGTGACCATTCTGAACACAGTGACTCTGTCCTGGTTACCTCAACATGCCACTTAGCATTCAGGCAGATAATCAGTATCATAATTATGCAATTAGCCAATAGTCTGAGTCATATTTTGAAAGAATATTATAACTAACAGAGGTATTGCTGTGCTATGTAGTCTTGGTGTGGTTTCTTAAGCAGTTTTAGAGTAACTTCCATTTCTTTGAGAGGTTTAACCTTAAGCTGTGCCTAGATTCAAGTCAACAGGGTATCTTCTGACCTTACCTAGGAGAAAGGTCTTCTGGCTTTCTTCCACATTGTTATATACTATAGTTGATTCATTCAAAGGAAGTACAATTTTAGAGGAGTCTTGTTGAATTCTGACCCATTTCTGTTGTTTGGAGTCTTGCATGCCTTCTCAAAATACAGAATCATAGAATGGTACAGTTGGAAGGGATCCTGAGGGTCATCTAGTCCAGCTGTCTTTTCATAGAAAGCCCATGCTTCTCAATGAACTAAGCTTTCTAAATTTGCTCTCTTAGTGTGGCTGCTAAACTGCCACACTTCCTTTAGTCATGAATGGATCCGAGAACCATTTCTGTGGGTGTATTTGAGATAGTGGGTGATGGTTGTGGTCAACTGCAGCATAGTAATGTGGCTGTGGGCTTCAAAAGCAATGATCTTCCTGTAGGCTTGGATTGATGAATATGGGTGAGCTATGCTGCATTAGCTGAATGAATGGTATGTCATCCAACTCCTAACTTTTTAAATGATGGGTGAAAAGCGTTAGCTAATGCCTTTTTAATAATTAATAGGTGTGTACAGGCATATCTTAAAGCCATTTTCATTTCATATGTTATGATAGAGCTTTGATTAATTACTCTTCCTTGCTAAGTTGTAATAGAATAGTCTGTGAAGAAACACTATACTTTTCATTGACCAGCTAATAATGGATCAGTTTAGAGGCAGTTGGCTGTACTTCAGGCTTATTTATTGTGTATAGTGGCATGTACATTAATGTTCGAGTAATAGAAGCTGCTGCCTGTTTTGATGGACTGCTGTCCCCTGCTCTTCCTATATTATGTATATTATGGGATTGGGCAAAGGAGTTACTTGTGTGCTGATATTGCATTCATAACTCCATTGGGAAACATGTTGCCCTATGGGTGCCCTGAAATGCCAATCTTTTTGTTACTGCATCCTAACACTAATACACACACACACACACACACACACACACACAGTACACACATGAATGAATGCACATTCCTTTTACCATTTGAAGTAAAAAGGTTTTGTCTGCACACGAAAGCTCATACCAATACTGGAAGGAATTTTTTTATTTTGTTTTGACTACGGCAGACCAACACGGCTACCTACCTGTAACTAGAGTTGGGAACCATTAGCGAATGGCAGAGCCTCTTGCATTTCCTGTAGCCCACTGAATTCAAGTGCAGGAAAAATCAGATATGCAAAGCTTATACTTACTCTACTGAATAAAACTTTGTGAATGCAATATTTCAGGTTAATATCCTACTCTTGTTTGTATACTTAGTTCTTAATGTTGGTTTTTATAATTTGCTTTGGGGCACTTTTGTTGAAAAAGCTACTAATATCATAAATAATAGCAACTTGAGATGGGACCAAAATCTGCAAGGGGTTCTTGTCACAGAGTGACCCTACAAGCTGCTTATTCTTGGAACCTGTCCAGAATAAATTTTGACAAAAGGTTAGCTAGTTTTTATGGCTATCTGAGAAAAATAAAGGTCTTTAAAAACAACAACACATATTTAGGGAAGCAGAACATAAACTTGCATATACAAAAGGAACATAAAATGGCATTCCAGCTGATATTAATATTTCATCCAGAAATCAGGGTCTTTGTAGTACTTAGCATTACACATTATATATAAATTTAAGTAGATAATTCTTAGAAAATACAAGTTTTCTCTCTGGGAAAGCTTTCCCATAGAAAACATTTTTTGATTAAACAAGATAAATCTTGACTTGGTAAGTCATATAAATACTACCATTACTAAGGAAGGAAACTCCTTCAATTAGAGGAACTGAAGTCCCTTATGTTAGCAGGAGTGATCTCTGGAATCTCTTTGAAGTTCCCATTATAATAAAGAATCTCTTAATACGTGGATTAAATAGTGAAGGAGATGTGGAATCGAGAATTTGAATTGACCGCTTAAGAATCTTATCAGCACAATTAGCTAATGTTGCCCTGAAGCTGATTTGGGGATTATAGTGAGACTCCAAGGCAAAAGCAAAAATCAAAGCTAACTGCTTCTGTGTACACTCAGGATCGAACAACAACAGGAACAGAGGTAGCTTAGCCTTCAACTACATAACTTCCACTCAAAATGGCTGTAAACTTCCACCTGAACTTTGGTAAGGTCAGCAGTCATTGATGTCAATTTGTTGTGTTTTATGGGTTTGGATTGGCCTTGGCCTTGAATTGTGGTTTGAATGTTGTTTTGTTTTGTTGTTTTGATGTAAACAATAGGTTGCAAACTGCCCTGGAATTTTATCTGATGAAGGATGATTTTGAAATTGAAATGAATAATTAGTAGTAGTAGTAATAAATCATATCTAGGCAGCAGCAGATAACATAGATTATGTAGTTGTACTGTCTTCTGATTTGTTCCCAAACATAATTCAAAATACTAGTCAATTTTATCTATATTTCTCAAGTACCTACAAGCTCACAACTTGCAGTGAAATAATGAAATAGTATTTAGAGGAGAAAGTAGTCATAAAGGATATTCACTATGGATATTTTAAAAACATCATAATGATCAAACTCAGGCCAGTCAACCCACTCAACTCCTTTTTGATATTAACGAACCAATATTCATGAATATTGATATTCATGACCAATGCTCAAGAATAATGGGAGTTCTGCATTCCTGGTGTAAAACCACAGCATTGTCTCACCTTCCCTTTTCTAAGAAGCCTTACTGTCCGTCTTCTGTGAGCAGCAAGATC